AGGCGCGCGGGAACTCCGCGCCCCGGGGGCGCCGCGGCCAAGGCCCCGGCGAGACTGGAGGGAGAGGGAACTCCCATCGCCCCGAGGGCAGGTGCGGGAAAAGGGGAACCGGTGCTCTGATCGGGGGTTCGCAGCCGAGATCAAAGGCATGGTGGGCAACAGGGCTGGGAGGAGGGGGGTGGGGGCGACTCTTGGGCCTTCCCTGGGGTCCTCGATGGGTCCCGGGGCGTGCTGGGGGGGCGCGGGGGGCAGGGTGTCCCCTGGGTGCCGGGGTGTGGGAAGGGGGGGACGGGGCAGGGGCGGGGGTGGGAGGTTCTTAATAGGTTAAGTATAAATCTTTCCTTATCTGGCTTTCTCGCTCTCTTCCCTAAATTCAGCTGGGAGAACGAAGATGGATCATGTGAGCGGGGCTGAGAGGTTTATGGAGCCGAGCCCCGGCGGCTGTAAATCATCCGGCCCCCGTGAGTATAAAGCGCCCGTGCAGCCCGGCGTGGGACAGAGGACGCGCTCGCCTCTCCGGGACCCCCGGCTCCGCGCCGCTGCCCGGCCCGGCCAGGTGCGCCCCCTCCCCCGCGTGCCCCCAGTGAGGCTGCCAAGAGCCGGTCCGCCCAGGCCATCCGTGGGGAGGGAGCGATGTAGGCTCTGGTTCCCCCCCCCTCCTCCTCCTCCACCACCACCACCATCATTATTTCTTCTTCTTCTCCTTCTCCTCCTCCTCCTCCTCCTCCTTTTCTTTTTCCTTTTCCTCCTCCTCCTCTCTTCTTCCTCCTCCACCATTATTTTCTCTTCTTCTTCTTCTTCTTCTTCGTCGTCGTCGTCGTCTTCTTCTTCTTCTCTTCCTCCTCCTCCTCCTTCTGTTCCTCCTCCTCCTCCTCTTCCACCACCTCTCCTCCTCCTCCTCCTCTTCTTCTTCCTCTTCCTCCTCCTCCTCCTCTCCTCTCCTCCTCTCTTCTTTCTTATTGTTGTTCTCCTCCTCTTCTTCCTCGTCCTCCTTCTTCTTCTCTTCCCTCTTCTTTCTTTCTTCACCTCCTTTCTCCAACTTCATCTTCTCTTTCTTCCTTTCTTTCTTCTCCTCCTTTCTTCTTCACCTCCTCCTCCTCTCTTCTTCCACCTCCACTTCTTTTCCTCCTCCTCCTCCTCTTCACCCTCCTCCTCCATCTCTCCTCCTTCTCTTCCCTCTTTTCCTCTTCTTTCTTCACCTCCTTTCTTCAACTTCATCTTCTCCTTCTCCATCTCCTTTCTTTCTTCCTTTCTTCTCCTTTCTTCTTGACCTCCTCCTCTCTTCCTCTCCTCCTCTTCCTCCTCTTCCCCACCCCTCCTCCTCCTTCTCCTCCTCCTCCCCCAGCGACCCCCCCCCCCACCAGCCTCCATTCCCCAGTTAGGAACTCTTCCATCCCCAAATCCAGGAATACGATGCAGATGCAGAACGAATGCGCGCCCTCGAAGTTGAGCTGAGGCCCGGTCCTCGGTCCTCTCTTCCCCTACAGTGAGCCCCCCCCCCAACGCGTCCGTTCGTTCCCACCATGTCGGAGGAGCTGGCCCCGGGCCCCAAGGAGAGCCCGCCGGCGCCCCCGAGGGGCCCCCGAGAGGTGTGGAAGAAGGGCGGCCGGCTGCTGTCGGTGCTGCTGGCGGTGAACGTGCTCCTGCTCGCCTGCACGCTCATCAGCGGCGGCGCCTTCAACAAGGTGGCCGTGTACGACACGGACGTCTTCGCGCTGCTCACCGCCATGATGCTGCTGGCCGTGCTTTGGATCCTGTTCTACCTGCTGCGCAGCGCACGCTGCCCCGACGCCCTGCCCTACTTGGACGCGCATGCCGGCCCCATCTGGCTCCGAGGTGCCGGGGGAGAGGGGCAGGAGGAGACCGAGGGGGTGGGCCTGCCGGGAGCTGCGGAACAGAGGTCACAGGGAGCCTGTGATGGGGAGCAGGGAGAGCAAACACTGCGTCCCCACAGATCCCTTGTGTCTCGTCCATCACCTCTGAGGAAGGGGACACAGTCAAACCTCCATCCACCTGCCCCCCTCAGATGCTGCCCTCTGAACATCTACCCCTTCATTGTGCAGCTCTTGGATTTGCCCACTCCATCCACGCATCTTCCCAGCCTCCTCCATCCAACAGCCACCTCTTTATTCATGCATTCATCCTTCCATCTACCCACCCATCTTTCGGTCCACCCGTTGACCCATTCATCCCTTCACCCATCCATTCATCCACACTCCCACCTACCCACCCAACCATCCCATCCTTCCAGCCTGTCTGCCCATCTATAGCTATTGATTCCCTCATCCATCCATCTACCCATTCATCTTTGGGTCTACCCATTGACCCATTCATATGTTCACCCATTCATTTATCTATCCACCCATTCATCCATCCATCCAACCATCCATCCATCCCCTCAGCCTATCCATCCATCTATCCATTCATGCACTCACCCCCTCCATCTACCCGTTCATCTTTCAATCCACCCCTTGGCCCATTTATGTGTTCACTCATCTATTCAGCCACCCTCCCCATTCATCCATCCATCTATCCGTCCACTCACTACAGCCACCCATTTAGCCACTCATCCTGAAGGCCTGTCCTCTGCAAGTCCTCCCCCCTTCTGTCTGAAACATGGCTACCACCCTGCTGACTCCTCCTCCACACCCATTCCCAGGTGGGCTGGTGCTGTTCGGGATCTGCACTCTGGTCATGGATGTCTTCAAGACTGGCTACTACTCCAGTTTCTTTGAGTGCCAGTCGGTCATCAAGATCCTGCACCCCCTCATCCAGGCTGTGTTTGTCATTGTCCAGGTGGGTGGGAGGCCTGTCCTTGAGTGTGATGCAGAAGAGCCAACACTGGCCTGGCAAGGAATCAGGAGACTGGAATCCACGCCTCCTTCTGCCCCGAGTCATGAAATAAATGGGATAGGACAGAGGTGAAGATCATGAGTCCGTAAATGTGGGAGCACTGAGTAATTAAGTAATACCTAAATGTGAGCTCCTGCTTAGAGGCACCTCGACTTTATTTCAATCCAAGAAGTGCCAGGAGTCAACACCTAGGAGGTGTGAGTTGTGACACCAGTCCCTGTCCCTAGAACCTGGCATGCCCTCCGTGGCTGCCCAGAGGACGTCATTCCCAGCCCAGGGGATGTGCTGTGACTGTGACCACCCAGCCACCACTGTTCCTGTGTTTGTTTAAGAGGCAGGGTATCTGATAGCTAGGGTTTTTCAATCAAGTTCCATTGTTTTTGTTTTTGCTTTTTGTCGGTTGTGGGGCTTGAACTCTGGGCACTGTCCCTCAGCTCTTCAGCTCAAGGCTAGAGCTCTATCACTTGAGCCACGGCACCACTTCCAGCTTTTGCTGTTTATGTGGTGCTGAGGAATCGAACCCAGGGCCTCATGCATGCAAGGCAAGTGCTCTACCACTGAGCCACCTTCCCAGCCCAAGTTCCATTGTTTTGTGTGAGTGTGGATCCTGCGGTTTGAACTCAGGGCTTGGGTGCTGTCCTCAAGCTTTTGTACTCAAGGCTAGCACTCTATTACTTGAGCCACAGCTCCACTTCTGACTTTTCAGTCATCATTTGGAGATAAGAGTTTCATGGACTTTCCTGCTCAGCCTGGCTTTGAACCTTGATTCTCAGATCTCAGCCTCCTGAGAAGCTAGGATTACAGGCATGAGCCACCAGGGCTTGGCCTTACCAGAGTTTTATAGGTGAGATTTTTGCAAACCTTTAAGTAATAAAAAAAACCTGTTTGTTTGTTTGTTTGGGTCTTGGGGCTTGAACTGAGGGCCTGGGCATTGTCCCTGAGCTTTTTTTGCTTAAGGCTAGCACTCAACCACTTGAACCATAGCACCACTTCCAGTTTTCTGGTGGTTAATTGGAGATAAGCATCTCACAGACTTTCCTGCATAGGCTAGCTTTGAACCATGATGATCCAAAGATCTCAGTCCCTGAGTAGCTAGGATTATAGGCATGAACCGCCAGCTCCCAGCTTGAGACCCACTTCTTTCACACAGACCGTATTATTGTGGAAAATGTTCCCTGCCTCCTTTTGTAAAGTTACAGCGACCCTGATCAGTTATATAAGGGCTCCACGGGTAGACTGAATATGGACTAGAACTCACCCCACCTACAAGGTAATGACTTTTCCTCTCTCTCAACGTAGACTTACTTTCTCTGGGTCTCTGCTAAAGACTGCATTCACGTCCACCTGGACCTGACACGGTGAGACCCAGAGCCCAATGACTGTGCCCACAGGGTTTATCCAGGGCAGAGAGCTGTCCAGCCTGGGCGTGGCTGCTCTACCTGCTCCCCAGAGTGGGTCTCAGCCAAGCCTCTGCCTAACCCCTCCCCCACCCCTCCCCCCACCTCCATTTTGTCAGTGTGATTTCCAGACCCCAGGGGCCTCCGTCCTCAGGGAGGGGTCGGTGGGCACTGAG